GGGGCAGAAAAGCGCTTTAGGGAATTGCCACACCCTTCCCGCAATTCGGCGAGATGATCCACGTGGATGCAGGAACGCGCTGGATATGGAGGATAGAGCTGAAGCGGGGTGTAACCCTTTCCCCCCCTCCCCCCTTGCCCTCTCCTCTCTCCATCTCCCCTCTCTCCATCTCCCGTTTCCTTTTTTCGGAACCACATGAATGTTTGACAGCAGAGGAACGAGGCGGGCAATGTATTTTGTTCTTGTTACGTAAGATGCTATGCGATGTGATCTCTGGTCCCTTTTGGATATATGGACTACCCACCTTTCTCTCGTGTGGATGCACCCGTCTCTATTCACCCCTTGGTTCAATGAATGCATCGTGTGCCCTTTTTCCCTTCTCTCCTTCTCCCCTCCCCCCCTCCCTTTCTTTCGTACCCTCACCTCTTTCTCTCCGTCTCCTTCTTCTCCCTCCTCCATTCCCTCGGTCCTATCTTTTGTCTTCCCTTTTAATTGAATTCTTTTCGCGCTGCAGTCTGTCGGTTTTCTTTCCAAACTACCTCTTCCGGAGGTGTATCGTCCTTCGTTGCAATCTCACTAAGTTGGGCTGATGAATGTGTCTGGGCAATTGCATACAATAAATTGTTTTTAATGCTGTCGTGCTCTTCGGTATTTTCTATACTGGCAGATTGCTTTGCGTATCTTGCGTTTTTGATAATTTATGTGGTAATATGTTGATTGATGCCCCCTCGGAGAACGAGGCAACCCTACCCCCCTTCACTTCGATTCGCCACCAACGCATAATTGGCCAACTTCGACCGTAAAACGGCCCTATGTTGTCGCCCTCACCACAAATGGACACACGAGTGGTTTTACCCCGCCACGTTGAAAGATCGCCTCCCGCGTCTTGCTTTTTTGCTCACTGTGTGCCGACGCTTTTGGTCGGAGTAGCACGAGTATGACGTGTCGTGCTCGTGTGAAACTCATGTGACACGCACATGCTACACACTCAGGAGGACGTGATTCCTCGATCGCTGTCGGGGGGTGCCCCTCCCAACCGCACTGTGAAGCATCTATTGGCATTCCTTATACGCCCCCGCATGGAAATGACGTGATGATGGTGGCTATGGGGTACGCCGAGGTCGTCTGAGCGCTGGTGAGGGGATGGCTGGATAATGTCGAAAAGAAAAGGCTGTGAGCTGCGTAGATCCGTGGTGAGAGATGATGTGATCTTGGGGAGAGCTGGTGGGGACCTGCTTTGACGAATTTGTGTTGTCCTCGCCTGTGGTTCTGTCCTCCCCCATTCCCGATCCCAACACTGTTTCCAATAACCCCCCTGTTAGCATTATCCCATCACTTTCGGCTTACGGGGGACCACCCTCCCTCGGAGAAGTCCTCATCCTCCGTGGCTTTTCCTGATTCCCATCCTCATGAAACCACCCTTGTCTACATAATTGCCCATTTTTTTCGCTTCCTTCCTCTGTATTATTTCTTTTTCTCTTCCGTCCTTCCTTATTCTTCTCTCCCTTGTCTCCGCTTCTTTCCCCTTTTTTTTTCATGTTTCCTTTTTTTGCCCCCCTTTTTTCATTTCCCTTTTTTTCGTTTCTTTCTTTTATTGCGCATTTGCAGAGGCCTCCCAAGGAATCATTCCCGGGCGGATGGTGGAATGAGTTAACGCATCGCTTCCCATAACTGAGAGAATGCGTTTGGCCCATACAAGCTTTAATGACTTGCATTAACCCGGGGGTCATGGATGCGATAAAAGATGCATGGGATACCGAGCGCTTCCCCCATTTCTTTGAAATGCTCTGTTTTAGTGCCCTCGCTGTTCTCGCGGGATCGTGGGATCGGAGTAGGGAAGAATTCGACGATGAACTTAGGATTTTATGCGAGCGGCTTGAGCTAAGGAAGCGGGAGTATGCTAGGGAGTGTAGGGAACTGGGGGGAAGATCTGCCAGGGTTGAACAGATCCTCCTGCCGGATGAACGCTTCGCCTACCGCAGGGGGCAACCGATTAACGAAATGCGATGATCTTGCGATCGAGGCGGAGGAGAGGGAGGAGATGGAGAGAGCGATCGCCGCCATTACGGCCACCATCAGGGATTCCCCCCTCACAAACAGTGGGTCAAGTGCTAATGCCTCTGAACGGGACTAGTATACGGCGTTCGCTCCCTTGGCTTCCGCGTACTGGGTTGAACATACATCCACGAGTTTTCGACATGCGATTTGGAAGATGGAGACCTTTAACCATATCGCACCGATCTCCATCAAGGCACTCCAGCTCCTGGGAAATGTCACGGATGCACAGGTGAAGGAGTGTAGGGCGCAGGTACTGAAAGCTGAAGTTCTTCGGGAGAGTCCCCCCACTGGACCCCCAGGATCTTAAATTCCCACCCATGCGCGTATTAGATCCGGATAACTGTGGGGAAACGAGCTCCGGGATGTGGCAGAAAGCTATTAGACAGCAGGACAGGCTGGACCTGAGGAACCTGCGGAAGATATGGAGTGTGGGGAGACCCTATCTCAAGTGCAAATGCAAGAGGGAGAAAAATAGGGACTGCGGAGACACCCCACTGTGGTTTGACCATGCCCTCTGGTATCTACTTGCGCACCCGGACGTTTTGTTCCCGGACATGTCCTCGATCAAAATCAGGACATCGATGTTGATCCACTACCTCAGAAGCACGTGGAGGGACGGGTTACTTGCCGCCATTAGCTTTCACTTTCCCAGGGATCTAATGATGGGATATGTCAAAGAACTCGAGAAGGATGCTACGGTCGACACGGAGAACTTGCTAAAGGAGGATCGCTTGTGGAACTATTTGATCCCTGCGTTACTTGCACGAATTATGCTCCCCACGCGGATCCCCGAAAAACCGACGAGATTTCCGCTCAACTCTCCGCGAGCAGCGACACGAAAGAGGGGCGTAGGTGCGCAGGTACTGGGCCAGACCACGCTCAACTTCCGCAGGGTAGCACCGATGTCCGACGCCCCCCCTCGCCCTCCTCCTCCCACTCCTCCTCCCCCTCCCCCTCCACCTCCCCCTCCTCCACCTCCCTCTTTGTTTGCTTCTGCTCATCTGCAACCGCGGTGGTGATTACCGAGGTGCAGCAAACAAGCCGTGGTACTCACCTCCGTGGTTTACATACCATGAACCCACTTACAGGGGAACATCGATCCGCACCGATGTAGGCAACTAGGAGCCAGATCTTTCCCTCCCCATTCCCACCATCTCAGCAACCGGTGATGGTGATTAGGGGGCTGACTCCTCCTGTCATCCTCCTTTCGCCGAAAAACTCGGCGCAATCGACACTTACCTAGACCGAGAAGGGCAAGAAGAAGGGCGCGAGGAACAAAGGCGGAGGAAGAATGGGTGCCACCACCAGCAGGCGACCTGCGTGTGCGTAACCCCCTCGGGAGAATGGATAAGAGGGTCATGGCCATCTTTTTCCGATGTTTTTTCCAAGCTTCCTCTCTCTCTCACACCTTTCTGTTACCCACCCTTGTTTTTATTTTCCTCTCTCTCCGTCCTGCCTTCCCTCCCTTCATTCCTCGAAGAATTCACTATCCCTTCCGACACTACCCGTGTCCTGTGATTGTGACCTTCGTAGCGCAGGACCAGAGTAGCAGCATCAATGCTCTAGGGCAAATGACCACGTTATCGACTGGCCGAAGATCTTGGAAGAGGCAGAAGTGGGATTGCGACGTGTTCTTGCACCTAAGGTACACTAGCAGGGTGATGGAACCACTTTCCATCAGGAGGCTGATAAACGAAGTCCTGGCCAGGATAATAGGAGATGAGACAACGACGAGGCTGGAGCGAACCATGATCGGTTGGACCTATAACGACAGTATCGCATCTAGACAATGCAGACCTGCGGAGGTATTATGTGATTTTAACGTTGCGCAATGGATGGAGGCCTACGATCCGGAGCAATGTCCGTGCAAATCTCGCAGATACATGGACAATGCTTCGATCGAGCCGCTCCAGAGCGAGGGTCATACACACGTCATCACTTTGGACTCGTCGATCACAGACAATCCACTACTCCAGGGCATCATCAACTCTGGACTGAACCATATCCCTTGCATGACCCTGGACGTGGACGAGGTGGAGAACGAAGTGTGTGGATTTCTAGACAGACTTTTGGCAATGGTACTGGAACTGCGCGAGCTAACGATGTCCACCCGATCATTTCTACGGAGGATAATCCTGAAGAAGGCGAGGGCGAAGATGACGAAATACAAGGAGCAACATAGGCACGTAACCGCAGAGTCGTTCAAACATCCGGCTGTCAAGCGGGAACTCCTTACCAGTCGCTTCCTCATCAGCCCGACGAATAAAGCCCCGAGCACTCCTGCCTTCGTATGCAAGAACTTCATACGAAAGCTCGCCTTTCAGAGGTTGTCTAAACCTGAGTTCGCGAGCATCGCCGCCCCTCCTGCATCGATCATCTCACGAATACAGGGCGAACTTTCGGCTTTGCCCGCGATGCCAACTGCACTGGCGACACTGCCATACCTGGTGATGGTGTTCAAGGCGCATAAGGGCGCGTTCCACTGGACCACGAACACGACCGGGATAGTGGTTTCCCCGACAGCGGACCTCTGTGCGTGTCTGCTTCGGTTTCTTCTCCCTCTGGTGCAAACATTCTGCCAGGAGAGGAGCTTGGAGTTGGAGGAACGGTATGGAGTAAAGGTGAACCTGTGGTGGTGGATTGCCTCAGTGGGGGAGTTCTGTGCGAACCTGCCAGAGAAGATTTACTCCATCTTTACGGCGGATATCACTAGGTGCTTTGCGACGATTCCCACGGACAGCTCGGGGGATAGCCTACTGGCAGCGGTGAGGTTCTACGTACAGAGTGTGATGCAGGTGCAAAGGGAGAGAAGCTCGAGCCACACCATTCGAATCAAGGTAGGGGAGGGCGCCCGGTTCTGGCCCTCGTGGGTGGATGGCGATCAGGCGGAGGGGCTGGGTTCTATGCTGTTCGGAGAGGAAGATGTTTGCTGGATCATGGAATGGCGCATTGCCAACAGCGTGTTACGCACGGGGGACTATGTGTGGAGATAGGTCAGGGGCATCCCCATGGGCTTGGCGTGCTCCCCGATCTGGTGCGATATCTATTTTTTTAATTATGAGTATCACACCATGATGAGACTCGTGGATACCGGGAATGCGCATCTTATTCCTTACTTCTTGGACACCTTCAGGTACATCGACGACCTGGGCGCGATCAACAACACCATCATCGAGAGCTTCATGCGGAAGAAGGAGGACAGGGAGGAGAACGACCCATGCTGGATCTATCTAGACTAGTATATCGAGATCAAGGAGAATACTGAGGTCGCCGTGGATGGGTGCGGGTGGAGGGCCAACTTCCTTAGCGTAACCATTACGATCACCTCTCCAGAAACGGGTGCGTACGTCACCTCCAGGCATGACAAGTGCGTGGGCCTGGGATTTGTTCCATGCAGGTTTATGAAGTATAAGTCCAACAGGAGTGCCGAGCAGGCGTTGCAGATTATCACGGTCCAAGTCGCACAGATCCTATTACTGTGCTCCTAACCAAGTGATGCGGTCGAGGAGATAAACAAGGTGGTGACCACGATGAGGAACAATCATTTTGCCAGGGACGCTTGCTGGGGAGTGGTTAGGAAGTCTCTGCGGAATGCATATCGCTACCAGCCCGGCAGGGTTTCCGTGCATATGGTCAGGGAAGCGCTGGCCAATATGTATGGTATCAAAGACGAACAGTGGTTTCCGTGTGCGTATCCGTGTCTGTGTATGTGCGTATATGTGTGACTGGTGTTCGGGGGACGACTGGACCGAGAGGGCCGGTTGTTCTCCGAACAACCTTCCCCTCGGACCCTGTCATCCCCCGGAGGGAACGGGGCGGGACACACACACACACACACACACACACTCAGACAGGTGACGGGAGGAAGAAAAGCAATAGGAGCTGGAGGTACGGACTCAAAAAGTTGGACGATTCTACGGGCGAGCGCATACAGTCCTCTCTCTCTCCCCCTCTCTCTTAGCTATTTTTCCTTTTTTCCTTTTCTTCCTTCTGTTTGTTTTCTTCCCCCGCTTTTTTTCCTTTTTTTTTTTTCTTTTTTCTTTTCTTATTTCTTTTTTCTTTTGTCTTCTTCCTTTCCTTCCTTCCCCCCCCTTTTTTGTCTTTTTTCTTTTTCCTTTTTCCTTTTTCTTCTCCTCTTTTT